TCTTGAACAGGATGCTGAGCTTCATGAGAGAGAAGTAACTTCCTCCCTCTCTTTAGTGAATTCATCTCGAAAATCCTGAGCACACAGCCAAAAATAACGTTCTCGTTTTCTTTTCATTTACTTTTCTCCCTCAGCCTTGTTTACGCATCTACAACTCTCGTCTGCTCCAGGCAGGACCGGAGGAGAGAGAGCCCGTCGCATTGCTGTTTCCATGGCAACGGAGGGGGGGGGGGGAGCAGAGGGTCTCCAAGGTCGGAGCGAGAGCACCTGGAGCCGAGCTGATGGGAGAGCGGAGGCTCGGCGTCGCCCTGGGCTGTAAGGCATGTCGCTATTGGACTTTTCATTACACCGTCTCTTCCTGCTCCTGCCTGGCACTGACATGATGAATTGTCACCAGACGTGTGCTGTTAATCATCTCCGGGGTCGCACAAGCAATAAAACAAGGAGCTCTGTTCGTGCATTTGATGATGAGAAGGAGAGGAGTATGTCCCGGTAAAGATGGAGCGAGAGATGTAAAAGAGAGGGGAGGAGAGAGTTTCGCTGCTGGAAAGTGGATTACATCCATTATTTAGGAGCTGCGTCCCCTCCACTGTGAGAGAAGAGGGGGGGGGGGGGGGGGACGTGTTTGCAGGGTACAAACATCTCCTTTGTGTCTCTTTGTGGATGGCAGTACGTCCTGAATGAGACCCCATTCTTACACAAGTAAGTAATTATTGACCTAACTGTATAATTATAGGCATTTATTTAAAATAAGATCCCTTCTTGTAATCAATGTTCAAGATCAGTTGCAATGCCCGTGTCCTGCTGGAATGCAGGAAGCCAGATCCATACATGTAGTTGTGTAAAAAACACTTTCAGATCATTGCATCAACAGGAGTGAAATGCATGGAGGCCCTGTTGAATCGCAGAGAAACTGGGCCAAAACTAAAGCTCTGCTGTGCTACCGTTTGATCGCGATGCTTCATCTCTGCCTCCCATTTCCTCTTATGAGCTGCACAGATTGTGTCCATGGGGTAATCTTGAATGCATGCTTTTGAACATATGGTATTAAGTACCGTGGCATGTGTTGCAGCAACTTCATATGATGAAAGCTCAGAAATTGTTCACAGTTCTAAAGCAGACATATGTGCAATGCATTGAGGGAATGTGACCGTAACAGACGTTTATCTTACATATTAGTAATCACGCGTGCCATCTTGCACACTGAAATGGCAGTGTCTCAAAACGGAATTCTTGGATTGGATGCAGCAGTTGCAAACGCATGCTGTGCCTCCTCTGTCTCTGCGTCTCAGCATCAAGCAATGCCAGACAACACATTTAATTTATCTGCAGCAGTAAATACCTGCTGGCGTTCACAGGTCACCAGGAGTGACCACTCTGTTCTCTGCTGTTTTTCTCTCATCTCCCCCCATTGCCGCCTCTGGACACACACACACACACACACACACACACACACACACACACACACACCTCCCCCATCGTCATCCACATACCGCCGTCACCGTCCTGAAATAGGGTCGCAGCTTCTACGCCGCCTGTTCTCTATCAAATGAAAAATACGGGAAGAGGAGGAAGGAGTGTCGGGGACAACGGGAGAAATAGGGCCTAGAAAAGGCACAAATCAAAGTAAGCAGTGAGAGGAGGAACATTTTTCAAGACTGGTCTATCCAGGCTTTGATGTGAAAGGATGTGAACTCCGCGCTTTACTTTTCTTCAAAGACTTTATTTCCACACACACACACACACACACACACACACACACACACGCACACACACTTTTGGGAGGCATGATCCCCTGTTGGGAACATTAATGACTTCAATCAAAATGGTTCTAATGGCTGTGAAGCAACAACAACAAAAAAGCGCAAACCTGTTTATTCGTTGAATATATTATTTTTATTTTAACATCATCATCGTAGTTTAAGTTTTAATTTTCCCTTCATTCATTTAAAATGATCACCTCTGAATGTACACATACTGCAAACTGTCAAAAATATACAAACAAATGCAGGCTTGTGCTATAGTCTGGTCAAATGTCTAAAAAACAGTGGCACTGGGGGGAAGAGAGAGAGAGAGAGAGAGAGAGAGAGAGAGAGAGAGAGAGAGAGAATGAAGGCAGGAGAGAGAGTAAGAGAGAGAGAGACATTGGAACCGGTAAAGACATGCACAGCATCATTGTGAGCACCGGTTACATGATCCAGGTGCGTGGTACTTCCACGGGATCCTCGTGGAAAAGTACATACATTTCATCATCTGACAGTGCGGCACAAAACGCCCGTCACATATCAAATCAAAAACAAAATGTTGCTCGTTAATGGAACTGTTAGGCACATCATTGTTTTTTATGGTTTTACATTTTCTGGAAAAGTCTGAGTAACTGTAAATGTAGAATGCTTAACTGAAAAAAAAAGAAGAAAATAGAAATGGGGGAAATCATACAAGAAAAAAAAGTCATTTTGGAATCACTGCGTTGTTAGTAACTCAACATTGTTACATACAGTGTGTGTGTGTGTGTGTGTGTGTGTGTCGGTGTGTCTATGTGTGTGTTCATAATTGGGTGCATTTCTGTAGAACTAAGTGGTGATGTGATTGAGTACTTGAGGTGTTTGTGGGTGGTGGTTTTGATTGGCTGACAGCCGTCCATTCAGATACTCAGGTCTTTGGGGTTATCCTTGTAGGACTTCTTGGGCTCAGGCAGGGCGGACGAACGACTGCTGTCGGTCTTGAGCGTGCTGTAGTACTCCCTCACCTTGGCCGCAACAAAATTGTCATCGTCCTCTTCGTCCTCCGAGTCGTCCCTTCTGGAGCTCCTCATCGGGGAGATGTCTCGTCCCAGGCTGCGGGCTCGGTACTGCGGCGCGGGGGAACTATCCCGGCTGCCGTAGCGGCCATCCCTCTCCGGTGAGCGCCCCCTCAGCAGCGAGCTGTACTTCTGGAAGGCTGAGTCAGAGTCGGGGGTGCGCACTCTGGGCAAGTTGACGTCTCTGAAGGCGTCTCTCTGGCCGCGGGAGGCCACGTCCCTCAGCAGGGTGTCCCCCCTGTAGGCTCTCTCCGTGGAGGAGGCTCTCATCAGCAGACTGTCCTCCCCGAACAGTCGCTCATCCCTGCGAAACGGCGGCAGCGTGGCCTCCCTGTTCAGGCGGTCCAGGGCCGGGGGCTCACGGAGGACGCTGTCCTCGAGAGTGAAGCTGAGTTCAGGGGTCCTGGGTGGCTCCTTCAACACGGCCCTGTCCCCGTTGGGCTTCTCGTTGCTGCGGCCCTGTCTCTCTGGGGAGCCGTAGCGGCGGTAAGGCTCTGAGGAATGGGCGTGGCGTCTGGTGGGGGAGTGGTTCCGAGAGCGGTGGGGGGACCTGTGGCTGCGCGGCGAGCGGTAGGGAGAGCGGTACGGAGAGCGGTAAGGAGAGCGGTGAGGAGAGCGGCGGCGTTGATTAGAGGACTGCTGACCGCGGCGTCTGTCGGGGGAGCGGCCGTGTCGGCGTCCGCCTTGATCCAGGGTGTTTTCTGCACTGCGCGACCGGCCGTGCACCTTGTCGGGTGAGCGGTGGCGGCTACGGTGGTGCCCGCTGGAATGTTGGCGGTGGCCGTCACTTCGCTTGTCATCCTTCTTAAACAGCTTGGTCAAGTTCTTCTCCGTGGACTTCCTCCCCTTGTGTTTTCCCTTGCTGGTTTTCTTGTTGGGGGAGCGGTGGCGGTGGTTGGAATGGTGGTGCTTGCCGGCGCCGGTCGGCGCCTTCTTGCTCCGGGATGATTGTTGGGGTTCTGGTGGGTTGCTTGACTCCGATGGCGCGTTGGTCGCGGACAGGGCGCTCACTTCCGCAGCGTTTTGTAACCCTGCGGCTGGGTCTGCTGCGCTGCCGTCGTTGGCGCTGCCGTCTGTAACACAGAGTGACATACAGACGAGGGCACGGGGATCAAACATGCATCTAGACTCTTACAAAGCTGTCTGCTTTCACATCAACCATGCCCAATCACTCAGACATCAAGCTGAGAACATTTCCAAATGGAAGCCAATCGGATGTTAATGCCAGCAGAGATGGCTAGTTGTTGGATGGCACAGCAACAGCCAATGGTAAAAAAAACCAAAACATTAGTGTACTTTGCACATGAGAATAAAAGGCAGTGACAGAGAGGCAGCCAGTGCTTGAAGAGACTTGTTACCCACAACAAACCTGCTCCCAGGTCTGACCGGGGTCACCTCTCTGGAGCAGAATGGCTGGAACGGAGGCCGGTTACAGTCACTGTCACTGTGCTGCATGTTGATGATGCTGCTTGAGTGCACTGAGTAGCCATGCTCTTTCATGCGCTGCCATGATGCCTTAGACACTTTGTAAACGTTTAAAGCAAATAAAAAGCTCACGATGAGATCCAAAAATGATTGCTGTGCTGCAGTGACAGTGTGTGCACTTTACATTACATTACATTACATTACAGTCATTTAGCAGACGCTTTTATCCAAAGCCACTTACTTTAGGTGGCATTTTAGTAAGTCGAGAAGAATTAAAAGTTCAAGATAATTCTAAATGAATATTGCCTTTTTTTTTCCTTAGGTCTCACTAAATCATCGACATATGCAGCCACCACAACGCTTTGTTTATCAGAATCCTATGGTTAAACTTTTGAGTTATTCTACCCATTTCTACTTGTAAGTATGACTGCAGGAATACAACTACAACTGATACTATTAACAAAAAGGATGCTCTTTGATGGACTAAAGTAGGGTAAGTAGAAAGAACAAATTAACACGCTGCATTTCACCCGTGGACGTTTCGCCCAGAGGTTAAATGCAACTGGTGCTGACATTTGCATGAAATATCCATAACAGCAGCTACGGCAGCAGCGGTACTGGCGATGTATTCCGGGTGCATGGATTTGTATGTATGGAGTAGAGCATGGGGCACATGTGAGTTGAGGCCACACCACACAGAGATCAGGATGGCGAAGGAGCGAGACAGAGAAGAAGAGAGACAGGAAGTGGGCGGGAGAGCCAGACGACATGGGAGGACAGTTACAAACCGTGGTCTGATTTTGGAGGACAGAGGCCTCCCCCATCTTGTCATTTCTCATACATGCAGTGAGATGGGGAACGACCAATCCTGAAGGAAGACAAGAGCCCAGTGCAATACGGAAGGAAAGAAAAGAGAAGAGCACAGGGTTTAGATCGCTTGGAACCAACTTGAAGGAAGAAAAGGAGAATTATTGTGTAGATTTTTCAATGAAAAAAAAGTGTTTATTTGATCATTGAGTCATTCAGAATAAAGAGACAGTCCAGGAAATTGCCCAAACCCGTCAGTGGAACCCATCAGTTACAGAGAAAAGTCCTGGAACCAAGCGCGCGCACACACTCCCGACACACTAACCCACACACACCTACACATGTGGACAAAGAAGCAGCAGAAACCCAAACACCAGAAAAATAAAGACAGTGAGACTCACAGCCACAAACGACAGCGTATGAAGAAGTTTCACATTGCTGACAGAAATCAAAAGCAATACTGGCGAGACTGTCAAAGGTTGTGCCAACTAAAGAGTACAAACAATGATCCAAAAATATACAAGTTCACATGATGTCACATCGGTGCAGGTTAAGACAGCACATTCTGAGCGCAAATAAAATTACATTGACGAACTTTTCAAGACTCCACTGAAAAAGTAACAAAAAGAAAAACATTTAGGATGACTCGTGACTATCAATCAGAACTGGTCAGTACGATTAAAAAAAACAAAGGTTCCATAAATATTATGGAAAATAGACAATAGAAGGGAGGAAAAAAAAATCCAATTTACACTTTTGACAAGTTCATGCAGCAATAGACTTTGATCCATTAATATGTGGCTTTGATCATGGCTCTGTACACGGAACAAAAATACTTGTAAAAATGCCTCTATTCTGTTCATCACTGTACAAAACGTCTATAGAACTGGAGCGACTCTTTTTCGTTTCTGAACGGAGATGGGTGGCGTTCCTATCGTCACAGCTTTTCAATGACATTAACAGTGTGGGTGCAAATAAAATCCATGGACTAGTGAGTAATGTCAAGCACAGTATTGTGAGATTTTCCTCTTTAAAATAGCAACAAAACAAAAAAAGCATCAGATTGCCTTTTCTTTTCAATACAGTTCACTCACTTAAAACCCTTAAGAGTTCAGTAGCTTACATTCACCTTCAATAAATATCATAAATACGTTTGTGTCACGTCCTAACCAAAGCTGCGAGATGTCCCACTTTATCACGGGATGCAAAGAATCAAGGTTTCCTTCCTCTTAACACTTAAATACGTGTTAAATGAGGAGTTGGAGCCCTCAATATAACAAGAAACACTGATCTTCCACTACTCTGCTCATTCAAACCTTGTAAACAGTTTCTACTTTCATGTAGCACTGGAATCAGACCCACCACCATTTAAAGTCCCAGCAGAGTGCTTTTGCTCAGTGGCCAGAAGGTGAAAAGTGACAGCGGGATGACATGGAAACTGAGAGCAGGTGACAGCAGGAGGGCGGGGGGGAGGGCAACAGCATCCAGAGGAACAACCTCCACCCCTGCTCCCCCCCACCCCCAAAAAAAAAAATCCCAAAGCCCAGTAGAGACCTCCACCAGAAAGAGACCCAAGACCAAGCAAGCCCTTCCCCCTCCCTGGTGGGTTTGTCCCAGGGATGGGCGAAGGGTCCTCAGAGGGTAATATAGTTCTTTCCCCTTCGACCCACCACCGTCCACTGGGTGTCCCCTGGGTGTCCCCTGGGTGTCCCGTGGCTCAGGGCGTGAAGATGGGGGAGAAGGGAATGTTTTCGTAGATTGACCCACCATATTCAGGCACAGAGCCATCACCCCTCTTGAGCACCAGATGGGCGCGCCGGCCTCCACTCTTGATGAGCTCGATGGCTCGCGCGTGCTTCATGCCCTTGGTGCTCTCGCCATTGATCTCCAAGATTTCATCACCGACCTAAGGGGGAAAAAAAAAAAAAGGAACAGGAAGAGGACCGGGAAGGGGAGGAAGAGAGGGAGTAAGCAAAAGGTGGGAGGCAGAGAGTTGTGACAAAGATGGAGGGGAGAAGAAGTAAATGAGAGGTGGTGAAGGAGAGAGCGAGAGAGAGAGAGAGAAAAAAGGCAGAAGGAGAGGAGACAACAGAGCAAGGCAGAATGCAGAAAACAAGTGACAGTTAGGGGAGAAAGTACACAAGAGGAAAGATGACAGGCACGAAGGTTCAAAGGGACACGATGGCAGCAGAAGGGAAGGAGAAGGGAGGACAGAATGAGGAGAAGTTACATATGGAATCCTCTGAATGCAAAATCGCATAAAAGACACAAAAACATGTTTTCTAAATCAACAGTTTCCAGAGAGGGAAAATCGCGTCGAAAAGCAGCAACTGTGACGCTGAGAGAGGAAAACGAGGGAGGGAGAGAGAGAGAGAGAGAGAGAGAGAGGGGGGGGGGGGGGGGGAGAAACGGGAGCCAGAAGAAACACTTTTTGCTTCCCGGTTCTTTGCCTCCACGCCTCAAGTTCTCCGACAGCGCTGTCAGCGCCGAGGGAATTCCTCTCTGGCAGAATACGGATCTCTCACTGACACCTCTCTCCCCGTCACAGAGCTGCTGCTGCTATTATTATCTCGGCTAATAAGGTGCACAAGCACAAATGTATATAATGTGCTAACACATGCACACCCACACACTTCCTCAGTGCAGCATATTAACATAGACCAAAAACTCCCTTGTAGCTCACATGCAAATAGCAACTGTCGACAGGCCCCCTCTGCATATGTCGTACATCACACGCGAACGCACCGATTAACCCCTCGTATAGTCAATCGAGCAGCCCAGGGGACCGTGCTGCCGACTTCAGCAGTTAATCAAAGTAAAGGTTAAATATTACATTTTCATGGCAGCTTCTGCAGCATGTATGAATGCCACTTCATGAGCTAATAGAGAAACATTAATCAATTAAAATGTGCATATTCTGTTTGCAGGTATGCTCCATGAGTCTAACGTTTGCCTTGTGTTTCGATATTGCAGTCACACAGTGAACCTCTTGTGTGCTGAAGCCTGGAGGCAGCCCTGTTTTATTCAGTGAAGCAGAGCTTGCAGTAATTGGGGGGGAGGGTACATTATGCACACACAAATATATTGAAAGATAATATTATTCTGATGGCTGTAAATTCTATGAGACTGTATCATCAGCCCCTCCCCCCTTGTTAATCAACACAGTCCACTGGCTTAACTGCACTGCACCTGAGAGCAGGGGATTATCACACCACAGTCAGTACAGTAAATGAATCCTTTTGGAGACAAGTTGTGGTGCTATTAAATGTAAAAATGTGCAGCACCGTCCGAACCCCATATGGCCAGCTTTGGTGTTTTTTTCCAGACAAACCGAAGGATTAAGTGTTCCTCTATGTGGTGGATTATCTGAAAGGCACTGTTACTAAGCGGGCAACAAGGACGTTTTTGGAGAATCATGCAAATGTCTCTCTATGTGTTCTACGGACTTGAGGAAATGTCTTTGTTTGGTACCGTACCTCATCACACAATGTCCATCAATGAAAAATGAGAATACGGAAAAAAACACATCATTCCCGCTAACATTGCAAATCATATCGCCATTGCAATATCAGTTTAAATAACAGCAATTGGATATTTCTTAACCAAATCGTTCAGCTCTACATCTAAAGCTACATGGCTGGATATAGAAGCTGCCAAAGTAAAATCGACCAAAACCGTCGAGTGAACTGTCCATTTATGTGTTACAATAAGCCAAAACAGTCCAAATGGACCCCAGGAGATCTTTTGGGTGGATCCAAAGAATGCAGTTTAATATTTAATTCATTGTTTTCCACTTACAGTATGACTATTGCTATCACAGTTGCATATAACCTTTATTTAAAGTAAGTCCCACTGAGACTAAGGTCTCATTTTCAAGGAACACAAGAAGACATAGAAACAATTTAAATATTTTAGAATTCAATAAAATATTTGAGCAGCCAATTTGTATTGCACCTGTGAGAGACACGTTGGAAAAGAAAATTGAATGCGGCGGAGGCTGAGATACCCTGACTTTTACTCTTTACGGGTAAAGCTAAACAAATACTCCCACGACTCAACTCAACAGCTTCTTTCATTAGACTTTCAAAACACCACAGCTCTGGAAAATAACTTCATTATTTTCACAAATATTAGATAACTCCTGGAGAGGCACAGAGGACTTCATAACAACTGTTTTCAGAGTATGGGTATTACTTCCTAGGACAAGTAAACCGAATGCACTTAGCACAGTCTGTGGCATCCCCTATGTGACTAAACGAGGCGTAATATTTGAAAACATTGGATGATGTCTTGGTGAGTGAATGCTGTGAGCACACACTGTCCCGTACCCTCATCTTTCCGTTGCGGACGGCTGCTCCTTCCTCAGCTAGCCTCAGCACGTACAGGTCCATGTTGTATTCTCTGCCTCCCCGCAGGCTGAAGCCAAAGCCTTTGTTGTCCCGCTCCAGGTCCACTGAGTAGAACTCAGAATCCTGTTGAAGAGAGACCACACACACCCACACACACCCACACACACCACACACACCACACACACACACACACACACACACACACACGGAAAGTGAGGGAGGGAGAAAGACACATTTCGCATCAAGGTTTGTGATTCAGATTTGAAGTATGTGTGTGTGTGTCCTTTGAAATGGGGTCCTATTTTGAGAGCATGGGACAAATACCACCTTCAAGAAAGTCACACCATCTAAAAGGTGTGCCAGGCTGTGTGTGTTGTGTGTGTACATGCATATGCTCAGGTGGTGTAAGGATGCTGAATTATTGATGCTTTGGGCTCTGGGTGGACAAAGAGAGAGGGCACAGATAGAGAGAGAGAGACCGGGCACCACAAGGACAGGCAGACGGCCACAGCAGCTCCCGTCTTCACGCTCTCCTAATCTCCTCTGCTGCGGGATCAATGCTATCTGAGCGAGCCATCTCCACGCCGCCAGATTAATTCAGCAGTGAACACAGTGGGCTGAGGGGTTACTTTGAAAGCAAACAGGCTTTCCTTAATGCAGAAAGTCCGATAACGCCGGCAGGTAGACGGAAAAGGAATAATAAATAAATAACAATGCACTCTGCTTGTCCTTGGGAAGGTTGGTGACTACAGTATGTATATCGGGTGATGCGTGAAGGGACAGAGGAGGAATGGGTGCTGGAACAGCTGGATGAAAAGACAAATGTGGGAATGGAGCGCAGATTGCTGGGTGATTGATGGAGACATGAAACGGACGGATGTGTGACTCGAGGATGACTGGAGTGTCCTTCCTTACCTGAGCTGAGACTTGTGTCGGGGCTTGAGGTGGAGGGCCCGGGGGCGCTTCAAATTCATACGATTCCTGTTTTGGTTTGGTGTTGTTCCTGGGACAGAAAGATAAAGCAATCAGTGTCAAAAGAAACCAGTGACTGAATGTGTTTCAGGTAGTTACTAATGAATTTCTCCTGCATACTTCTTACACTTTCTGCTGCCTTTTTTTTTTACAGGACTTTACATGGTTGCTCAAAACACTCAATTTCCCAGCATGCCCCTTACCTGGCCTCCGGCGCAGCCTGCTGCTGAGATGTGTGAGTGGTGGTTATAGTGGCGATCTTCTCCGCATTGGTCAACAAAGACGCATTTGATGACTCTGAGGAGGGCGAGAGAGACGGCCAGTTATAACCAGTGTCAGAACCTTTCTTCCTCATGCATTCATACAAAAACATTTCTGCTGCACTGAGGACATTTTACTGACATTTGCTTTTTTTCAATACAGCGTCTAATTTAATACGTCATCATTTCAATACAAAAAAAATCATTCAGCGGCTGTCAGCTACAAACATTTGCTGACCTACGGGGACCAGCTCCACCAGAATTACACTGTCCGCTGGTTTACATATGTGCTACCAATCACTTCGTGTTTGTGCTTCTAAAATTGCATTTCTTTTCCAAAAAGGTGTTGATCTCCACTGTGGACTGAAACTCCTCCCGTGTCAGCCTGTGAGCTGTCAAACAGGAAACATGCAGCCTCTAGAAGATAAAAGCTCCTGGTTATTCGGTCTTTTATCTTAACACTGGTTCAATCATTTTGTGCCATCACTGAATAACGCTGAGTGTCATTACATCACTCTCGCTGCACAAAGAAGCCCATCTTCTCCCATCAACGGTATCTTTCTTGGCTATTTACAGGTATCCTTTATTTGATTACAGCTCTCTCCTAAGTCCCCTAATTGTTATTCTTCTCACGGCCAGTTCCCCTCTAATCTATTCATCTCCTCCACCTCCACCAGTCCCCTTATAGAGCCTGTTGGCTTAACTGTTCGATTGCCCGTTGCCCAAAAGGTTCAAAGTCAACCAGTCACGCTGCAGCGTGACTGGTTGACTTTGAAGTGGGGCTAGCGTCACTTTGGACAATGTTGAGGAGAACCTTCCAGTTCTTGGAGTACCATAGAATGTATAAAACATGGACGTCGTCTCTGTGACGTCACCCATAGGTTTCTCAAAGTGGGAGACTCCAACCGTCTCCATCTTGGCAGTGAGGACCTCTAAAGCTGAGGTGGATCTTCGGTGGTGCTGAAGCGGGCTACCAGCGTGAAGACCGTACTGCATCCATTGGGATTTCTGGCATCAACAGCAAAACTGTGTTACAATCTCACGCGCTTTCTGTTGCTCATTTCTCACCGCCTGAAATTTGTCCTTGTAAACACTATTCGCCCCTCCATCTGCTCATTTGCACTCCTTCCGTTCTGCTGCCTCGCCATTCATCTCCCCTCCAACTGTTGTCTGTCTGGAAATTAAATCGAATGAGCTCCGTTTCTCCCCGGCTTTCCGTTCTGCAAGCGACCCACTGCCTCTTTTCTCCTCTCTCGCTTAGAAACATGAGCGGCGCAAAAGAAAAAAGCACTGAGCCGTTTCTGTAATTTGTCTACGGCCCGGGCGATATGCCCCCCTCCCCCGGGTGGACAGAGTTAGAAAGAAGAGCATCACAATGAGAAATTCAGGAGAGGGAATGAGAAAGAGGAGAAAGGGAGACCAGATAAAAGAAATACACAATATACCTCAGGTTTTGCTAAAAGAAAACAACAAAAACAGGCACATCAGTTCACCTCAGTCTCCCTTCTCACACACAATATGAAGCAAAGAGGTGTGCTTGGTTTGCACCTCCACTCTATGCTGCAGAGACATCCGCTTTGATGAAAGCATTAGCTGTTTGTGCACGCATTACTGTGCAACAGCAGGAAGAGTTCCTGTTTACCTTGTCACTGCAGTATCGAGCATCAGTCGCAAACAAAACTCTGTCTGTGTTCCCACACGGGGGAGAGGTGAGCTCAGTGGAAAGGAGCTGAACCTGACTTCCCCTTGGAAGAGCCTCTTGCGATGGTATTCATTCGTGTCAGAAAGTTTAGACAGGATTGATCCACGCAGAAATAAGCGCATTCAGTCAAGTGTGAACAGAGACACACAACTTAGAAGCACAAGCCACAATCTTCCCCCGTCACCGTCTCCGTGTCAGACGGCATCTGTTTGTTTGACACGTGCACATGAATACGAAACCGGAACTTTCCGATAAAGCATATCCAGTTATTTCTCTCTGACGCCTTCTCGCATGCCCTCTGCGTCTTCTTGGCAGAGCAATTTTGGCTCGCTGTTCTCATCAAGTGCTCCACGGGAAAAAAATAAACTCTTCATCCATGAGAAGTGAACCGGAAAGCAAACGAGCGGCGGACAAATAGCTCCAATTTCTACCAGTGAGCTCGTTGACAGGGAGTATCGCCTTCTTCGCACACACACACACACACTCACACACACTTAATTAAACAGCATTTGTGAAGCATGCCAGGCTGATCTGTCAGCACAAAGTAGAGTGAGCTCTCAGCTGCACAGCACAACATGAAGTGTGCACAAACTTTTCCTTAAAATCACTTTGACAATAGAGACACACAAACATATACAAAGGAAATTCTGCAGCTGTCTCACACACACACACACACACACACACACACACACACACACACACACACCTATCATTTTAAAAGTAGCAATTCAGTCAACACAGCTGGGGTGTTTCTGTTTGTTTTGAAAGAGAGTGGAGAAACTGCGAGCTTTATATACCACACTTCAGGTATACATAATAACCACTCAGGAAAGTAAAGACTTGTCCTGCTCCTCAAATCCACTCAGACTATGTAATAATACGAACAATAGTTGATGCTTGTATTGTATTATTTGGCTGCCATTAATGTGCCATTTAAAAAAGAAACTTGCAGAAATATGCACTCCAACTTGGACAACCTTCAAGAATAAGCTCTTGTAAATCGCATATGAATATCTGGCTGAAGGCGACTGACTGAATGGGATAATGAAGAAGGTGCTGGTTGGCAATAACCCACACTGTTGCAAGGACCCCGAAGGCACCTTTTAGGACCCTGAGGTAGCAGGATACATTCTGGGAGCAGTTTATCACGGGAATAGAGACTTTATTTACCTGGCCAAGTATTAAAAACGTCTGCAATAGCTCCGCTATAGTCGGTGTCTCCAGGACCACGTTTTGCCGCGATGGCACACACAAGGTGTCGCGACTGGTAACTGCTTATTATAATACACTATCTTGTAAAGTGGAGTCCTTAACTGTCACTTCTCTACTCACCGTCTCCAGGAATGATGCGTAGTGTGACGGTGTTGCCGGCCTCCTTGATGAGGTTGACGATGTCCGAGTGGGACTTGTTGGTGATGGAGCACCCGTTCACAGCCAGGATGCGGTCGCCCACCTTCAGCTTCCCGCAGCGGTCCGCTGGGCTGCCCTCGATGATGCGGCCTATTTTGTGGGGCATGGCCACACATGCATTGCCAGCTATGGTCACCATTGACATGTTTGCGCGATTCAGTGCGTATGTGTGCGTGCGAGTGTGTGTGTGTGTGTGATGTTGGATTATGTTCGGAGAGAGAGAAGGGAAAGGAATGGGAAAGGGGGAAAGGAGTAGAAAAAGAGGATCAGAAGGTTAAGGGTTAATTCATAGACAGCCAACAGCCAGCCAAGCCGCAGTCACAGAGAAGCTGATCAGAGAAACGACCAGCGAAATGCAAGCGTTGGCAAAGAAGGGCAAATGTGTGCTCTGCATCTGTCATGCTGTAGTTCTCAGGCCTCCAAATGAATCATTGGAAAAATCTATTTTCCAATTTGTTTGTCCTCATAACACGTAGAGCTGCTCCAGCACCACATTTCTAAAAAGGGTGTCATTATTATATTTGCATGGGTCTCTCGGCAGTAGAACGGCGGTATTAAAAGAACTGTGTTCTGCATCCCGAACACCTGCAGCCGCATAGAAGTTGGAGAGCACAAACATACATCAGCGCTGACATCTCACCAACTACCCTGAGGTCTCTCTGCTTCTCTTCCTTTACTCTCTCTCTCTCTCTCTCTCTCTCTCTGTCTGCAGTCTGACATCAGTCACTGCAGAGAAACGGAGCGTGCGATCACTCCTTCCTCTCACCAATCTTCTTTTTCATTCTATTTCATCCCTCCCGTCAACCGCTTTCCTTTCTGTTATTCCACTACAAACGTGTCTAACCCTGACCTCTCGCCTGTTGTATTCACTGCATCGAGCTGTAAACTATCCATTGGAAAGCAGATGACAGAGAGACGGAGGAAAAAAGAGGTGCTGTAGCATCTCTGAACAAAAATAAAGTGCTCCTCCAAATACCAACTGTATGCGTGGACTGGTTTCCTGTAGCCAATTGTTTTCCATTCGATTTTACATGTCAGGTCAAGTCAAATAAAGCTTATCTGCAGGCCCATGCTTTCCACTCTGGCCTGCGAAAATGGAGCTTTGCCACTTTGTAAGCCAACCTGGTAAGTTGAGCATTTTCATGCCTTTTTTTTCGGTCCACCCACACTGACGGAGATAAGAGCACAGAGAGAAGTGGAATGCCATAGTGGTGTAGGCAGAAAAGCCGTGGCAGTAGGGAAAAGAGTGCACTGCATTGAAAAGAGACAACTAGTTTGTAAAGCAAAGTAGATTCAGTTTGAGCAGCTTCCTATGCTGCGATGTGTGAGATCAAACTAAATACTGTAACGTCTAGTTTGTCAAACAATACAATGATTCAATTGTAGACAATGTGGTTTGGAGTCAGTGCATCGTCCTGCTCTACGTTGTAATAAATACATATTATTGACACCGGTCATTTCCCTTATCTATCCTGCTTGCAGCACTCATTCTCATTAAGTTGTCATTAGGCTTTTAGTGCCAACCTGCTCGGCAGAAGCCATTTAGGTTCAGCTGAATAATACAAATGCCTTATGTAAGTCACTTCACTTGTGATCAATTATAAAAGCCTTGTGCGAGAGTAGCAGCAGCTGCAGGCGGAGAAAGGGTTTCAGTGTCTTGGCTTGACAGGCTCAGACGAAAATGAGAAAGAAGAAGCACTTCTTTGAAGAGAGTTGGTATTGATCTGGTGGGACTGTAAATAGCCAGAATCGGTGCTGGTTGTCAGGCTATTTAGTGTTCAGTGGTTTTTATGGATGATACAAAGGCAGCCCATAAAGAAGATAGGAAGATAAAAAAGGCCCCAGTGATGAAGAGTGTGTTTCATGTTTTACTGAGTGGAACTGATTTTCTGCGATATTGGCATGTGCAATCAAAGACTGTGTTCGTATCAAAAAGCGTGACGTCTCTTACCGAAGGTGGTGCCGGCTTCGGGCCGCGACACCGAAGAGACGATGACGAAGCCGAATCCCTCGTTCTCGCCGCGGCGGATCTCCACGTCGTAGGGCTGAAAGGCGGAGGAGGCGTTGGAGACGACGTTGGGGGGCTGAGAGGAGGTGGTGGCGGCGGCGACTGCTGAGGCGACCATGGCGTTCCCGCTGCCGCCCGCCCCTCCGCCCCCTCCCCCGCTGCCAATGCCGGAGGTGGAGCCGCTGCCGGAGCTCACGGTGTTGAGGGAGTTCTGGCTGCCCTGTGGGGTGCGCTTCCCCATCTCCTCCGTCAGGCTGGGCGCCTGGTTGCTGCTGTGGTGGGAGGACGCCGGCGATGGAGGCACATCTCCCTCGGCTTTAGCTGGACACGGCAGAGGAGGATAAGGTGAGAAGGATGCAGATTATGAAGTGAAGGGCGAGGGAGGAAATGGTGTGGAGAAAGGAATAAAGGGGAACAAATTGTGGACAGGGAGGTGAGACAGATTCAGAAGATGACACGGGAAGATTGAGAAAAGAATGAAGACGGCCAGACAGTGTTACATAAGACACTCAGGAGATAATAGGACAGAAAAAGCAGAGAAAGAGACCAGTGCATAATAAGGCAAGATATAACAACACAGCTAAATGTTACATCATCTGTGCAATCTGAAAACTGAAAGAGATTGTAAACAAACACAGACAGCTAGTTTGTGCTGATATGATAAAGGACATCTTGGGCCCCGCCGACAATCGCTCCTCTGATCTGTTTTGAACAAATGATGAACTGACGACGCGGTCCGACTGTAGTATCTGGACATTTCATTCCACATTTCATTTCCTGCACAGCTGCTCGCGGAAAGCGCCTCATATTCTCAGCGCTCTGAGGCACACGGGAGCAGCAATGCACTAATGTCTGTCCGCTGTCATCGGGCCGAAGGTTGACCGCCCTCTCCATCATATTTATGGGCCTTTTCTTTATCGCCTGCTCAGGAGCAGGGTGGAGCCGAGCAGAGCGGCGGAATGACAGTAATGGGCGTGGGGGGGGGGGAAGGTTGGCGTATGCTCACGGTAGCGGCCGAGCGCTTTCAAGCGTTTCACACCCAGACTATTAGTCAACGGAAGGCGATCCCTGCACATAGCAAGCGGGTCCCAGGGCCCCTGATGGAATTGGGATTAAAAATAAATGGGGCCCATGGCGATGTAAAGTGCTTTTTATGCGGATACATGATTGTGTTGGCAACACCGATTCATTTAATTATAAAACATACAGCTGATAAAATATGAAACACAATTACTGAAAGCTCAAATACGTTAACGGGGACTGTGAGGAAACGCTGTGAATCGTATCTGTCTGATCTATTGACCCGTGTCTCTATCTATAGATATATATGAAGTAGTTGCACATTGGAGCTGCCAGCAGGTCTCTTATCAGGCTAGGCTGCGGCCTCGATCCCGCTCCCTTCTTACCGGCGTAGTTGGCTTTGCGTCGCACAGTGAGGTTGACGTGGCCCTGCTTGGCAGCCTGCTGCATCAGTTGCACCACCAGTTGGTGCGACTTGCCCACCACCGCTGTGCCGTCCACGCATATCAGCTCATCGCCGGAACGCAGGCGTCCGTCCTCGTCTGCCGCGCCGTACTTCACTATGTGGCCGATGTAGATCTGAAACCGCAAACAGTGTAGAAAACACAAATCCAGATCATGTAGATCTAGATAGTTAAAGACTGCCAAAAGTGCAATATATTTTTAGGAATATATACATCAAAGGAGTTCAAACAATGTTTTAACAGAGACAAGATTTTTTTTAAATTAAGATATACTGTACGTACATACATTCAATGTCCCAACTTTTTAGCAGGTATAACATTGGTATGCAGTGCAGGTCTGCGACAATTTATACCACACTATTACATCCCAGCTCCGAGGTAAATCATTATTTCTTTTTCCTTCAAGAAATGCAGTGCAGGACTGCAGGCCAGTGAACAAGAACAAACAACTTTGCCTCCGTAAGATTGAGAAGAAAGAGGTGGTATGTGTGTGTGTGTGTGTGTGTGTGTGTGTGTGACATGGGTAGTTTTCTTTTCACAGAAGCCGTGTTGTAAAAAAATCCCTGATATGAAGCTGATGAGAAGCTCAGAACTCCACACTGGTGTGAAACCCTATGGATGCTGCTCAGACTGGTACTGTGAATATAGAGTCCATTTCATCATTCAGGTTACTGGAGCTGTAGTTCACACACTGAGAGAGACTCACCGGCTCTCCTGGCTCATTGCCTCCGAGGATCCTGAAGCCGAAGCCCGTGTCCTTCCTCCACAGGAAAATGTCCTGCTCCTGGAAGTCTGGAACTGTAAAATCAACAGATCACCGTTAACATATCCGCATTAACACCAGCCGCCTGCACCAGCACTGTACAAGAAGAGTTCAGTCCCAGCATGCAGTTAGCCAATTAGTATAACTGCAGCCAACGGTACGGCCGTAATGGATGCACCCATTGTTTTTAGGGAATCAAACCACCCGTCTGCTTATGTCAACATTCAAATATTCATCCTCCCAACGGTTCCAAGCCTTGTCACCAAGATAGCAGTTTGCACAAACAGTCTGTCTGGAGGCTTTGGGAAAAGAACAAACAACCGATCCGTCAAAAGATGAAAGAGGATCTATTTTGGGTGAAGAGCACCGGTATGAAGCTTAAATAAACTATCAGAAGCAAGACAGACTGCCAGTACAATTCAGAACACCTTCACTCATTGATCCCATAATTAGTAATGATCGGGCTGAAATTTCACTCTGAAGTCTGAAATAGTTTTATTTCGTTTGAGCTTTTTACAGCATTTTTCGGTGACGTTTCCCACAGACTGGACATTACTATTCCACCGGACAACACCGTTTCATTTATGCAGTGATGTGTGACATGCGAGGTCATTTCTCCTCTTGAAAGTGTTGGGGAGCACTTGGCACCAGACGGCGGTCCGTATACATGCTGGAACACGCCATATATTATTGAGCAGAGTATGGCTAGTTCACAGCCCACTCCCAGCCACAAGAGAAGACGTCTGTGTGTGTGTGTGTATGTGCTAGTCACTAGAAAGGTACTGTGCTATAAAAGAGTGCATTGCACTGCAGCGGTTGACAGCTCATGGTTCATGTAGCAGTGGAGGTGGGGGAGAGACGGACTGAGCTTGGCCTCATCTTGGTGTATACATGAGCTTCTTCGCTTTTAAGCGCGTGCATACGTAGTCGTGTATGTGCATGCATTTGAATGGTCGCAGCTGTGTTGTACTGGCTGAACACACGTGCACCTCTGAGCAAACTCCCTGGGAGATTTCCGTTTCGCTCCAACACAGGCCACCGCCGCCAAGGCCACTAAGAGACGGCAGGGTGGCAGAAGGCACAAACAGCCTGCTCCCAATCTGTTCCTTCAGTCAACAGTTGAGATCCCTGCGGAACGCAGCAAGTTGGAGAAATCTATCACAATGCGACTGTGGAGGACCCGGGAGAGGAAGAGTCAGAGGATAACGGTCGCAATCTGAACCGGCCCGCGGTGGGGTCAACTGCACAGCTGCACCCTGCTCCGGTCCATTAATGGATCCATGAGGGATCCCCGCAGTGAGGCAACCGGGCGTGAATCGATCAATGTTCCACAACGATGGACGGACCTGTGCCGAGTTCTACTGCGAGCTCGGCTGGTTCAAACAGTGAGGAAATTAAACTGGGAACATGTTAAAGCCAGACAATAATCAAAATGAAGTGTCAATAAAGCATGAGTGAGTTTTCTATCCTTCCTGGCCCAGATTCTTCAGAACAGGTCAGTGCGAGTTTTTCTGCAAATGGAAATCGTTCATCACATGGTGACTTTAAAGACCTTGATCTCAGCAGAACTTTTCATTACAGCGAATGCTGCGCGGAGAAATGTCTCTGCCGCGGCCGAGGCCTGAGCCCTGTGGGGTTGCACGCAGCAGGATTTTAGGATGAGATCTCAACGCAGAGCGAGGAAGCGGAGGATTCACACCTGCTGGTACCGGTCAGCTGTCCTCCCCGTCCTCCTCTCTACTTTTCTAGACCTCAGAATCCCTTGATCTCGCAAAGCTTGACCTATCTCTTTCGCTTCCCATTTCTGTGTTTCTGTCGCTCATCGGGCCCTCCTCGTCATCCTTTGTGCTCTCTTTGCGGTCCTCCCATTTACTCTTAGCAAACTCGGGCTCAGGTCATTTAGGAAAAAAACCCTGTTGAGACTCCCATCACCTTAGGGCAGCGAAGGTGATGGGCTCCCCCTTAGTATTGGTTTCTTCCGCTCTCCATCACGACTCTTTATTTCCTTTTCAAATCAAACACCGTTCCCGGCAGCTTGCTAACAGGCGCCTGCACAACCAGCCCACGCTCAGCATTTCCTCTTCTTCATCATAGGCATCTAAATAATAAAAAACCCTTGACAAGAGGTGCTGAGAAAGTGATGAGATTTCCACAGCCCTTACAGACTCATGTTTTTTTCTTTGTTTTTTTAACCCGACAGTGGGTTTGAGGGTTGTTCTTTTTAATTAGAGCTATCCCTTCGCTTCGGCAATGCTAGACAAAGAGGAGGGGGGGGGGGGGTATGCAATGCAATGACATCCACTCCACTATTGCTGCTAATTATACGCCTGTGTGACTCTTCGGGGAAGTCTAGTGTAAAAGTGTGTCAATGGCTGCAGTGTCGGCGATTGGACCACAGTGGCACCTACAGTAGTAGCTTTTAAACGACGAGCATGTGGGAGATGCCGGCTTCTGATGCTGCTCGGAAATCAGTGCTAACTGCTTGAAGAGGAATAACTCAACATTTTGGTAAATACGTTTATTCACTTTCTCCCTGCTGCGAGTTAAGATGAGAAGACAAATTTTCCCTTCCAAGATAGAACCAGCAAGCGATTAACTTAGCTCCAGACTGGAAGCAAGGGGACACGGCTATTTTAGCTCTGTCCAACGTCAAACGAATCTGCTGAGCAGCTTTAAAGCAACATTTCTGTTTGTTCCACACACACACAAGAGGAAATGTAAAAAAGTACTTTGAACACAGCCAAGATGGCCGTTTCCTTCCGCTCTCTGTGTGAGCTAAGCTCAGCTAATCGCCTGCTGACTCGAGCTTTACAGTTAGCGCACAGATAGGTGGGTGACTTCTCATACTTTCACTAATGCTGAACTGCTGATTTTAATTTCTTTAAAAATGTCCGTACATTTTGAAACGGAACATAAATTGTATATTCTACGATGCTATTTTCATCCTTAGTTCTACGTGAGTATAGGTGAATATGTGTGAATGTAAGCCAGGTACTTACATGCAGAAGACTTATCTCTTATCCCAAATCTTGCTCCAAACAGTGCAGTACCATTTAAAGACACCAGGGTTCTCCACTGAGCCAACAGCCCCATGCAGCCCTCATCCAACCGCCACCAAAAATAAATACTTACGCCTACTTTCATACATGGTCCTGGACTGGGCCCAGATCTTAAAGGGGTCCGGTTTTCTTTGGATGGTGCCGTCTGCCGGGGAGTCCTGGGGAGGCAGGCCTGGCAGGGGCTGAGAAGGGGGCGGGGGAGCGATGCTCTCGCTGAGAGGCGGCGCCAGGGACGGGTGCAAGGGCGAGTCTGCGTGGGCGCTCCGGTGGCTGGAAACGCTATGCTGGGAGCTGTTCTGACTGTCCTTTCTCGACAATTGCTGTTGGAGAAGCAGATGGATATCATTTGACAGTTGAAAGTCAGCTGTGTCAGTACACCTGTGAACACAGAGGCTGAACCGAGTCAAACAAAACAAACAAGTCATCTCATGATGGGCAGCGGGGAAGACAAGAAGTTGTGGTTGGTGAAAGAACAATCAGTGGGATTAAGAATACAATACAGAAGAATTTTGGACCCAAGTGTATCGTCAACCACTGTTGTGTTGCTCCCGGATTCAACGCGACAAATAATTAACTTGTTTTATTCAGATAATTATTGTAGCATACAAAGAGAGGGAAAGGAAGAGCTCAATGGTTTTCTCATGATTAAGTCATTCAGCTGTGGGAGAAACAAACTTACAAGGGTGCATCGCCCATTCCTTTTGCTTAACAGAGTGGAATGTATGAACAAGGAACTGCATCCCCTGCTGCATATGGAGAGATATTCACAGTGAATAGAGCACTCCTGGGGTTTGAAACGGAGGGAGGACTTTACTGGTGAAGCCAGAAATGTAAAACTCCTCATAAATTGCCCCCCCCTCCCCCCAATAACATGGGCACTTAAGCACCTGCTCGAGGATTTGAAGGGAGCGGGTGCTTGAGCGCGGTTAAGCGCATACAATCCTGAGCTCAAGTACAAGTACGCTGCGAGCACAAGTAAAAATCCTTTCCGTGCCGCTTTGTCACAGTATCTTTCTTTACAGTCCCCGTCTTCACCATTACGCCACAGATTTTCCCAAAGAAAAAGGAAACCAACCAGCGAAGGGAAGGGTGACAGACAAGAGCACGAGAGAGAGAGAGAAAGGAAGATATTTTAAGACAATGAGAGAAAATGACAGCAGTTCAGTCTATTCACGTCATGTGACCTCCCAGTTCTTTGGATGCGGTGGACAAAAATACACCAGGAAGGGGCGGAGGCAAGCGGCTCATCTGCTCTCAAATATCAAAGAGTTTGGCCTTCAAAGTGCAGGCCTGTCTTCAATAGATTCAGACTCATTACTCCCTGAATCAGCCTCCTACACCTCTGCAATTCATGTTTATATTCATCACGCTTGTTAGACTTTAAAGAAGCTCGACGCTTTAGCAAATATTAAGTCAGAGCCGGAATGCTTACTCTACTAGCGGTGTGAGTGGAACCTCACTGGGTTGTGCGGTGAAGGAAAATGAATGGATTCATATAATTAGTCACAAATGCGGGCCTCGTTTGGGTGCTAAAGTCAGACCTCAGGACTGTTTTCTTTGTTTGATCACTTTCATTTCATCAAACAAAATGGTGCCTTCATTAGGGCTTCAACGGAGCAGCATTTCTTTTTGTGAATGTCTCTCTCAGTTTGATGTACACAAAGCACCAAATCCTATTCCCCTATCAAATGAAACCAATTCTCTTGTTTTTGATGGATCTATTAGGTTTGACCTTCTGCAGTCATTGTGCTCTCCTTCTGTGCTCTGGGACTGGTCTAATACGTTTCTTTCTGCTGCTCCAATAACTTATTAAGGAGACAGAATAGGGGAGGGAGGGCGGGGGTTTGCTGGGGCAATCACAACAAACCCTCGCTGCTTCCTCAGACTCGGCTCAGTCCTGTTTCGCCACCAGCGGCCCCCACTGGGGGTCAGTGCCTCGATGCTTCACAGCATCAGCGGTCGTCTTCAGTACGTTTCGTTGCACACGAACAGCAAACATCATGCATGAACACCATCATCACCCTCAACTTCTCACCTCTATTATCTGCTTTAAGAATGCTATGCCATCACCATTATCACCTAACGCATTTCCTGCCCAGCACCACCACCACCACCACCTCATCCCCCAAAAACTTTCGCCCCAGCTGAACGTCATCACATACCCTCCTAGTGTAATCTCTGTATGGTGGAGCCCGCTCAAAATCATCCTGCAAAAAACAAAAATTTGACAAACACATGTTCAGTCAGACACAGTCAATAGGATCCGTCCATTAATGCAGCACATATCACAGGATGAGGCCGACTCTCAGCTGTGATCCCGCATTCAACTCTCTCGCAGTGCAAGCTTAGCACCCCACGCGATGCGATCATCAGCGTGTTAGCAACCCCGCTCACGCTGTGCATCAAAGCCCCTTGTTCCAGCCCCCGCCAGAGGGGAGGGGAGGGGGGGAGGGACGGGGGGGACGGGGGGGGGGGAGAGATGCCAAACTACAGGGATCCACCCCCGCAGAGCACATCATCCCATGTCTCCAAACAGACCCAAAACATCAGCACCACAAGTTACACCTTACAGGGGAGAGTAAGAGATGAGGTGGGAGAGGGGAGAGGGGAAAGTAAGCCAAAAATTCCTTTTTGACAGACACACCATGTAGATGGAGGACAGAAGAGAGGAGGAAGGATGTGAGAGGAGGAAACGTATAGGGGGGGGTGGGGGGTGGGGGGGGGGGGAAGAGAATAAAAAAAAACAACTACTTACCAGTTTTGGGCTCTTCTTTGCAGGTGCCACCCCTGTGAAGCCGGACAGAAATGGGGAAAAAAGAAGAACAAAAGGAAGAAGGTTACCGATGTAGTTTTAGTTTATTGTCCATGTTCAGAAAAAAAATAAAAATAGAAGAAAGGAAAACAAACAAACAAACTGGTAACGCAGACTCCAAAACAATGCTCATTTAGCCCTCGTCTCCTTCCCCCTCCTTTCCTCTCTCTCCCCGCTCGGATCCTTTGGTCGCCGTTCCGCGGCTGGCGTTTGAGGAGGAAGGGAGGAGGAAAGGAGGGGAGGGGAGGGGGCAGGCAGAGCGATCTATCTGCATCACTGCCGCGGCCAGCGCTCGGCTTGTGTGGTGCAGCGGAAGAGTGGGGCCAGCGTCCAGGGCTAAAACCCAGCGCTCACTGGGAGAGCCTGGCTATCCGACGACTGCCGAGCGCACGTGTGAGTGAGTGAGTGAGTGAGTTTGAGGGGAGGAAAGTGATAGTTAAGAGGATAGGGGAGAATCCTGGAGAGCAACTAAGCCAGAGAAAGAAAGAAAAAGAAAAAGAGGGAGAGGAGAGGAGCGAGCTGTGCTCTGGAGTTCCCGGCCGTAGCATTACCCATGGAGAAGGAGTCCAAGATACTGAACATTAAATTATAGGCAACCGTCAGTTCCCCTCTTACTGAGACCATCTTCCTGTGTCCGCTGAGCGCCGCGCTCCGCTGTCGAAGGCTCCAGCATCTATAGGCAGTAGCAGCGTCCTCACTGTCTCTCCCTTTCCTGCTGCCTTTTCCTTCCCCCCCCCCCTCCCTCCCTCCCTCCCTCTCCCCCCCTCTCTCTCTCTCTCTGTATGTCTCTCTCTCTCTCTCTCCCCCTCCATCTCAGTTTCCCTCCCACCCCCACATGCTGGTAAACATCCACACACACACACACGCACACACACGCGCGCACACACACACCAGGCGGCTTCCCGCTGCTCTCCCGACACAAATCGAAGCGTGCTTAAGGTTTGACTGACGGGTTTCAGCTCGACTGAGCAGTGACCAGAAATACAATCGCAGAAAATACCATTATCGCAGAGAAGCAGCACACAAAGAAAGACTGACGGACGACTAAAGTGCTCGTGCAGCCTGGATCCAGCCGGGGATATTTGCTCCTTAAGCACATCACTGCCCCCCGCCCCCCCACCCCCCTCCTCCCTCGACTCTGCATGAAATAAACAGTTGTATGAAGTTATGGAAATGAGAACGGGAGAAGGAACGCATGAAACAAAGAGAAAATGCAAAAACTGTTGGTGTGTATTTACCTCTGTAATATATTTAGAATTCAACAATGAGCGGAGTACCAACCACACACACACGCCTCAATAGGGGCGTGTAACACATGTAAAGCATGATGTGTGTCTGATCAAAGAAAAATGGGCCATTTTTATGTGTCAATCCTTCAGGGAAACAGAGGGGATAAGATCTCTCACACACACACTCTTGTCTTCTTTATCTCTCAGACATCTGGGTTCATTAACAACTGACGGCTCCAACTGTGTTGCGTCTGCAGCTTTTTTTCCCTTCTCTCCTTCCTTCCCCCCCCTTCAATTAATAGGAATCATTCATTCAAATGCGGACACAGATGCACAGTGTCAATCCCGAGGTGTTCTCTCTGGGCTGAGCACGCCGTCAGTCAAAGTGTCAGGCTGCCGTTTGATTGTCCATCTATCCACTGCAACTGATCTGCTGCTGCGGTCCGTCAGCGCCGCTCAGCACGCTCCCTCTCCGAGCTCTCGGATCAGACACACCGGTACACAACACGGACACACCCGTGGAAGTGAGAAACAGACTCGGACACAAGGTCGATTCAGGTCTTTGCATAGCACTGCGCCGTTTGAAATTGCATCCAAACGTTTTACTGTAAAAGCAAATCACTAAATAAGGTATTCATTTAAAGATATAGAGTTCCACTAAATTGAGAAGCCTTGATGCCATTTGACAAATAAAGCAAGATTCTGCACCGGTCAGCAGATTGTGTGTGTGTTTGTGTGTGAATCACCACAGTGTGTTTAAAGCTCCTACATGAAAAGGTAATGTGGGTGTTTGGGCCAACATCCAGGAATAATTACATACAAGAGGGAGGAAAGAGTGGACAGGTGGGGCACTGACAGCCTGAGTGAGGGAGCGCCGACTAAGTCCTCAGCGCCGACTAAGTCCTCAGCGCCGACTAAGTCCTCAGCGCCGACTAAGTCCTCAGCGCCCCCAGCTTTCAAATAATGGGCCAGGACCACTGTGCCCCCCCAGCTCATTTTATTCTGCTTACTTCATCTGAAAATCGGTGGCATTATTCACTGCATTCTCAACAGTGAATGATGAAAGACTGCTCAACCTACGGGGCACTACATTTGTATGATATGGGTTTATTTTTTATGATTAATGTTATACATCAACTGATTATTGTGAATTACAATGAAGCCAAAATAATAAATGATCCAATATGTTTGAGAACTGCAGTGATTTTCTTTTTTTTTTATTGCACTTGACGGAATATCACTCATCTTCTTTCACTGCCTGAGGAGAAACTTATGATTCAGCCCCACAGCTTCCAACCGTTCGGGTTCATGACGATAATGCACAGCGGAGTCTTTTGCAAACACTGGAAATAAGAAAATGCAACTATGAAAGCATTGACACACAGAGTTCAAGATGTCTGCGCTAGAAAGATGAATTCAGCACATGAAATGTGCGCAGAGGAGCGCTGGCTTCAGGTACTGTACGAATGTACAAGTTCAACAGATAGGAGCTGTTGTAAAAACCTGGCAGCACAGCAGGCACTAAACAGAAGCCATTATTAAGCAGATTATGTTGTCTGTCTATAGTGTGTGTGTGTTTGCGTGTTGGTATATCTCCGCTGGGAGTGATGGCTTCCAACAGACTGGTCCATCTGTCACTGTGGCGACGGTGCCGGGTGACCGTGGGGGAACTGTCAGACTCAAGGAGTGAAAGGCTCACATCAGCAGCCAGGATGTGACAGCCCGGCAGAGCACGGCTTTATTTAGCTGGTGTGTGTAAACAGTGAAATTAAATGTGACAGAGGAGCGTACTAATGGGACTAAATAGATGACCGGGGAGAGCGTGCATGCAAAAAGTAAAAACCATATGAAACATAAGGTTCTTGCAAAGAAGGTCACGGCGCTTTGTCATAATAAAAAAAAAAAAATATACCGAGGAATGTTTCGCTGCACAAACGCACACATCCATCCAGAGGAGACCCCCAGCGCAGATTATCTGCAGAGCATTGTCATAGTAACAAAGGATGGTGCAATGGGGGAGTTTTACAACTCGCCCAATAGCTACGGAGGTGTGAAGAGATGGGAGATCGTTGATGGTTGAGGGAGAGAGAGAGAGTGGCTCACCCTCCTTTTCCCTGAGCAACAAGCAGTGATTCACAGGCACGAGCCTCCGGCAAGCCAAAAAAGATGAGCGGAGGTGAATCGTGGGCACCTGGCGGGCGGGCGGGCAGGCCCCCCCCCCCATCATTGCTTTTTGAGGACTGCAATGCTGTTCGTTATGGTGCCACTGGAACATGCAGTCAGCAGAATTTTTAATGCGAAGTGAGCAAAAAATACGACGCTTCCTCCCCATACAGGGAATTGATTTCCTGCTTTGGTCTGCGCAGGGACCCATCATCAACATTTATCTCTTTCTAATGGGTGTGTACAAGACTGTCCACATTATACGGGCCTCATGCCGGTAACTGTGGGTTTATGTGGGTTCACGTCATGTCTGCCTATCACTGTGTGCCCTCAAAGCTTTTGACGTTCTCAAGCTGCTCAATTGCCCAATATTAAGCCAATAAGAGCAATCCAATGTGGCGATGATCCGCTTGCTGTTTTTACCCTCTTAAAGCCGCACGCCCATTAAAAAACAAAAGGAGAAGACACATTTCAACCCACTGTCTGTCTTCAAGGGTATAATAAATCTTTTTCAGACTGCACTTAAAAGGCAATGACAGGAAAGGCAAACAAACGCAAGCGAGAGGAAATACACCCGTCTGTGCTCGAACGCAGTCAATGCTCTTAAGAGTTTTCCAAGTAGCCATGCAGATAACCTGAGGTCTCTGACATTTGTTTGGGTATTTAGATTTTTATTTACTCAAAGGAGATTAAAAAAAAAAGTGGCTGTGCAGTGGAGGGGTTCATCAAATAGGGGGCCTGAGTGCCCAAAAGGGACTAATGTGTCACCATTGATTGATGATTCATTAAGTGTGTGTGTGTGTGGGGGGAGAGCAGAGCATCATGGGGGTTTCGTTGCCGCCCTTTCACCATCTCTCTAATCCTCTGACATCCACCGTTCTGTCCTCTCTCTTCAGTCTGCAGCTGCCTCTCCTTACACTTTCTCTACATGGCTGCAAGCAGTTGTTGCAACCAAACACAATGTACCTTTGCATTCATTGCAGCACCGGCCAGGCCTTACAAAAAAACACACTCTGCGTCCACGCTGAAACAAATGTGCATTCCTTTTTTTTCTTTTACAGCTGACTAATGACGTGAGCTGCTGGGCTATTGAGAGGCTGCGTTTCAGAGATTCGACACCCAAACCCAGGTTTTCACAGAGAAAAGGCTGCACGGCAGGTGTGCGCGTCCCTATCGACCCTGTTAACATTTACACCTGTTTAAAGGGAGCACGGGAGAGGAAATTAGCGTCTGTGCTACGGCAGGACATCAGGGGCCAGAATGAATTATGTCAGCTCATCAGTGAGGGCAGGAGAAGACTGGCAGGGGGAAATGAGCACGTTAGAGTGGTGTAATTAGACAAATGAAAGAACACTGTTTCACGAAACACAGACCTGATTGAAGTAATAAATCATAAAACCTCTGCGTCTTGGGTGCATAACCTATGAAAACCTGTCAAATCTCAACCTGACGGTCTGATCTGTGGGTGGTTCTTCCTCGATTATATACGTATATGTACTGTATATGTGTAACTGGAGCAAGGATCATTTTCGCAGACAAACAAAATAAAAGCTGGAACCCTCAAATGAGATTCACACTGCCATGTTTTCCCACCGAGATCCATGAATCGCAGGTTCTCTCCCCACCAATGTTCAGCACACTGTGGCTGGTGAGGCATAACAACACATGCTCACATTTTCACTCCAGCTGACTTGCTGGAGTGAAAATGGACACACATGCTCATATATGGTGAGAAAGACAGTGGGAGAGGGGTTGAGGGGGTCCTCAGGCATTGGCTCCCATCTTCATGTGGGCGAGCGGGTGTGAATCTACATACCGACAGTGGGGGGGAATGGGAACAGGGAATGGGGATGGAGGAGGGGTGGATCTCCACCAATTAACACTCTATCAGGCTCGTTCTGCTTCAAATTCATAATTGGATGCAGACCGTTCGAGACCGACACCGAGCACATGGTCAGGGACAAAGAGATCCTTGATGGGTGGAAGAAGAAAGTAAAAAGAGAGCACAAGAGAGAAAAGGAGGCATGTGTATGATAAGCAAAGCCGACATCACGACCCCAATTAGAGGCCAGTGCGTCTTGTTGCTGCCGGTGGAGCGAGCCGGAGAGAGAAAGCACTGAGGAGAGGAAGAGCGGGAGAGTAATTAAGGCACCGTATCTGGAACCTTGGTGTATGCTCTCATGAGTGCAGCAGTGTGTGTGTGTGTGTGTGTGTGTGTGTGTGTGTGTGTGTGTATACACAATGCATCAGACATGTAGGACAGGCATGATGCAGTGTGGGTGGTGCATTGACTCTATGTCAAGCAGAAATGCCAATCATTCTCTGGTCCCAGCTTGTCATCGGAAACTGAATATTAGTTGGATATATTTGAAGATATCTTCTCTGACTTTTCTTTTCTATAGACAAAGAAAAATCAAAGAAACAAAATGATTCATCGATAATATAAATCACCATTAGTTGCAACCCTAGATCAAGGGTTTGGTTGTTCATATCTACCAGAAATTAAATTCTCACTCAGCCACACGATCCATGCCCAGGTGCTAGACAGGAATGGGCTATTATTTAAGAATAATTATAATTATTATATAAAGAATTATTTAAGAATGTTCAATACTAGTGAAGTGTGAAAGAGCCCTCGTACTTTTTACAAAAGCCTTCTGTGTCTGATCAAAAAGCAAGTATCTGACCAAGGATTCAATGGCAGGTTTGAGGACTTGACAGCTTTAGAGAGGTATAGTGCTACGGACACAGGTTCGATATGATGCCCTAGTGCGAGACCAAAAAAACTAAGAGTCAACACACCACCCTAAGTCCAATTTGTAATTTGGCTCAATAATTACTGGCTGCGTTGTGATGTGCGAGCCATTAGGCTCTTCATCAAAAAAAATCTTTGTAAAACACACTGTAGCCAGCACTGGGTACGTAAATGTGCCAATGGGAGAAGTGCAGTGAGCAGACTTTTGCTCTTTTATTAATCTGCATGAAGTACTAGAAGGGCAGGTCCTGTTAGAAGACACTGTACATTCAACTGGCTTTCATCATTTGTTTCCTGTGTTTGTGTTTTCCTCTTCCGACTGGCATCCTTCGTTCCAAAACCCTAAGTAGGATAAGACCGACCCTAAAAGGCATTTAGGAATGCTGCTTCAATTAAAATGCCTTATAAGCATTATCATCATCCATACCTTTGTCTTTTAGCGCAGAGCCATTCCTTCTATCGCAGTCATATCTGTCCGTCTGTGGCTATCAAAGCTCGTCACTGCATCCACACAAACCCTGCTAAATCGCCCTCTGTTTTATTGACAGCCCATTAAGCCCCTGCCAGAGAGGAGGAGTGGACCGGTTCGGCCACTTTGGGCCGCCGCCATTCATCTGACCGACTTCCCTCGACAGTTCTGAGCACTTAACCCTACCGAGGAGATAAACTGCACACACACACAAACAAACCTTTTAGTTACTTGAATTAATAAGCTCCAAAGCAAGCTATGGACAGTCTGACAGAGAAAATAGTCCAATTACTTGTATCCCACAGTGCGTTTAGAGCTCTGGAGGTCTGAGAGTCTGATGGGGATTGGAGGGAAAATACCAAAATTCAATCATTCCAGTTTTCTCCTCCATTCACGGTTGCTTTGTTTCCATTTCGTGCTCCTGTGTGACCGTGATTTTCAATCAGAAACCACCGCAGAAGCTTTGGTAAGGCTTGGTACACGCCGAATAGAGGCCTTCACGTGTGGGTGCGCTGTTTTCGGAGCATTGACAACCAACACTAGAAATGTATGTAAACAGCTCATATGTGTGCGTGTGGGGGGGGCACGCCAGCACAATCTGAGGCATCTTTAAAGCGACTCATTTTAACAGTGGATTACGTTAAAAGCCTGAAATAAACTAGACATGTTTGTCAACAAACAAACACAGCAGACAGACACAGAGGGGAGGG